TCTGCGGCTACGGCCGTGGCTGTGTCTGTGTGTAAAACATATTTAATCGAAAAAATGCATACTTATGCGTAACGTATAACTGTGTACTTGTTTTGTGTTTGTGTGGTTGTTTGTACATATATTACATACACAAATGATTGTTTTCGCGCGCTATGGCATGCTCATCTTAGTGGAGTAAATTTCCAGCGTTCTATGTCTGCAATATGCATAAAGTTACAAACATAGGAAACAAATAGAATAAGTATGCCGTATTGCACAAATTACGAGTTTTTCGCTTTGTTGTAATCCCAAAACATTTTCACGATTATGGCGATGCATTTCTCAGGAGCAATAATAGAACACAAGCCCAGGATTTTAGTCTTGTACGGATCTTTGCGCGAGAGTAGTTTTTCCCGTAAATGTGCGTATGAGACTGCACGTTTGCTTGAGCGCATGGATTGTGATGTGCGTGTGTTCAACCCGAGTGGGCTGCCTGTGCGTGATCCTACCCTAGAGGAATTGCCCAAGGTAGGTGGCATCGTAATGTCTCTCGTACTGATCGCAGAAACTCAGTGGTATTCGCCTGGGTTTATGCGTTCTTGTGTACATACAGTTCTACAACTCGGGTTTTAATAAGAAACATACATACATTTATTATACAATGTAGTATCCCTGATGCTTATCAGGTTATACCTGATTATTTCTAGCTGTGTCGCCAACAATAAAGTCTGTGTCTGCTAACCACGGATCCTATTTCTTATCCAGGTTCTGGAGCTCAGAGCGTTGACACAGTGGAGTGAAGGACATATCTGGGTATCGCCCGAGATGCACGGAACGATCACCGTAAGTACCTATAATTACTTGTTCACGTTTCCTTCCCTATGAATTTGCAGCACCCATGCACAATTTAAACCATGCAATGGCTACGGGAAATCGTATGGCGATGTCCATTTTTCCCATCGAAGCGTTGGTAACAAAGTTCATATGTATTGTGCCGTTTGATATCTGTGACTGTGAAACTTATGACCCAGCGAAATCAATTTTTAATGCAATAGGTGGCATCCAATTGATGCTTGTGTTGTTATCGGAAGTAGTATCAGCAGTGGTGTATATCACTCAATCTCCTTCGATTATATTGTGTATATTTTCTCTCGCGTGAGTAGCTACACAATATGCCGAACATACTAGTGAGAGGTTCTGTTCTATTAAGTTTCTGCATAGGATTTGGGTATGAAGAATGATGGAAGATCACTCGCCTAATTCACAAACATTTGCGTTTCAGTGCTTCACGATATTTTCATGTGTAGCTTTATGGACACCCTTGTTATATCATTGTGTGTCAGGAATTTAATTGATCAAGTGTGTGATTAGTTTACGCTCCCTTTTATGTTATATATATATATATATATATATGGCAACTGTTATCACTTGCTGCTTGACCCTGAAGATCTACCCCTCATGTCTGCTACATTGACCAGTAGTATTTCATTTCGGCCTATTCCCCTCAAGTAGCATAACTAGTATGCTAGAAAATGCTACTGAGTCTCACTTCAATATTAACACAAACACAGTCCTGTTCACGTCGGTAGCTGGTATCGTGAGCCCAATCTCTCATCCCTTTCCAATTCGATTGCTTCTAGGGTGTATTCAAGAACCAGATCGACTGGATACCGCTCAACACAGGATCAGTACGTCCCACTCAGGGTCGTACAACAGCTGTGTTCCAGGTCAACGGAGGTTCTCAGTCCTTCAACGCCGTCAATGAGCTGCGTAAACTATCACGGTGGATGCGAATGCCATGTACAAGTATGTGCTTTTGAAAAGAATACCCGTGTAATATATGCAACGTGTGTTTACCTATAGTTGTGTGACGGGTGTACGGAGTACAGACTGGGAGTCTGTTGGACGGCTCGTGTGATTGCGGGCTGATTCCATTATTTCCTATTTTGTTCTATGAAGTGTGTTTTTCCTGCATTTCGCTTTGTCTGAATGCTATTGAGACTTCTCGCATCTGACAGATATTTGTGGGTGTGGTTTCTTGGTACGAATGCAATTGAACACATCGCTGTGGTAATATTGTGATATAACGTTGGTCACATTCGAATACATTGAAAGTAGTTTCGAAGTAATTGTGCATGCTACACTATCCATCGACAAAGTACACCCCGTTAATATACGATTCGGCATATAATTGCCACTCACGAAATATACCATACACATATACACCTCCAAATTGAATATCGCAGCCAACCAAAGTTCCGTGGCAAAGGCGTGGCAAGAGTTTGACAGCGACGGGCGCATGAAGCCCAGCGGGTTCAGGGAGCGCGTGGTGGATGTATGCGAAGAGTTTGTTAAGTTCACACGTATCATGCGTGAGCAAGTAGGCTTACTCAACAACAGACATAGCGAGCGAAAGGAGACGCTGGAGAAGGGTCGTTTGCTCACACAGGAAGAGAAGGAGAAAGAGAAGGCAGAGGCCGAGAAACTTAAGTTGCTTTCACAGGTATCGGCTATGAATCAGGAGTAGTCGTGCATATCGAATGGTGTGGTCGAGTCATAGGGCATGATGTAAATCAGTAGCGCTAGGCAGTTGTCATTAGTAGGGGGAGTGTTGCAAGAGCAAAGACACTGGAGAGATCGATATCCTGGCTAATATTGCTTACTAGCTAGTAATTTTGTATCTAAATAAGCTTAACTTAGGTACTGGAGTCTTCGTTGATAAAATAAAATAGGAACACACAATATCAATGTTTGTATGACCAATTCAATATCGTGGCAATTGTGCCGTACAATGTGAAGCATCCCCTATAAATGTTCCTATGAGCACCGTGCAATGAAGAAATAGTGCCTACCTGGTGGTAATCTATTTTTTAGATTCCTTATCGATTAACGAAACACACGCATTTTATATAGTATATGGTTGATTTGGTACTACATATTAACGTATTATGCGTACACTGCGCGACGTTGTTGTTATATTTACAGTATATTGTAAGTGTGTGCTGAAGATGGGCGTTATGGGGTTGATGGCGTTGCTACAACCACTAATGTGTCAGATACTCGTTTCTAGGTTAGACGGCAGTGTCGATATTGACGCGAACTTTCTTATACATTTGACCAGGCGTGCGCATGCACGCGAGATCGTGTTGGAAAAAAAAAGGTGTTGGTTTCTTGCAGGACTGTTCGGCAGCTATAACTAAAGTTTGCAGTGCAGGCACTGGAAATTGCAACTTACTGCTCGTATTCGACGGTTATATAGTTGAAAATAAAATAGCTAACGAAGATCGCATGCAGGAACGGAAGCATCACCTTCAACGCGTGCATGCATTCAAACAAGGAAAAATAAATAAGAGGGACTTCGATGAAGTGAGAGAATGTAATGGTACGGTCGGAGCGTTCAACATACAAGCAGCAAAAATGTTAATGCTGCTATGCATAGATTGTAGTATCAAGTTTATAGTTGCGCCGATGGAAACTGAGCAGCAGTTAGTGGCTCTACAAAGAGAGAATATCATAAAATATGTTATAGGCTACGATTTGGATTATGAGTCCTAGGTTGCGATAGACTAGTTGCGGATAGACGATGGTTCGGCTATGGTCCCGTTTCGTGAAAACTGTACGAAACAGAGTGTGCAAGCGATTATAGATGAAAAAGGTTCTGGCTTCACAGACAATCAGCGTATGTTTTTGCAAATCATTGTAAATCTTGCTTTCGATTGCACAGTTCTACCTGCTGCATTGCTTCTATTATCAGAATATCGGCGTTCAGGACTTCTGCAACATGCTGAACTCAAATGAAAATCGCGCGATAGTCTCTACTGGGTTGCAATATATATACAAAGATGACATTGCAGCAATCAAACAAACCAAGGAGGGCATACTGCAAACGAAGTTGATGTTCTTTACACAACCTATTTATGTTACCAGTACACATTCATACACATCCTTTTACAGTATAATGGCGAAGCCTAAACAAGAGCTTATAGGGTTGTCTGAATAACAAATACAAAATACAATGACATCCCCAATATATTTCTATGGATGATCGACAGATACGCAGTTGGAGTGATGGCACATATTATATTCCTTTTCCCTCCTTGGTGTGGAGTTTGGAGTGACAAGATTGGGTTGCCCGGCAGACCAATTGATCATAACAATTTAGACGCTAAATTTTCAAACTTTGGCGCCTGGAATTCTGTTAAGTTGAGACCATATGCTATGCAGCGATCAATTGTCATACCTAAAGGTTAAGAAAATAAAGAGTACAACCTTCTAGCTCGCAAACCCGTATTGAAATCTGAACCAATTCCTGAATACTCCAAGTCACTACTCTCGGCACGACTAGAGTTAGAGGCCGATGTACGATCTCAGTACTCAGGTTTGAACTTTACCGTGTATGACCAAACAACTATTTTGAAAGTGCATATTAATGCCGAGACTATAAAGTTATTTTTCGGGAATAGTGCATATACGCTTAAAGCATCAATTCAGCAAGTCAGGAGATGGAAAGCGTATAAAAAGAGCTCGTTAAATGCTCGTACAAACACAAAACTCATGTACATCAAAGGAACTGTCACTAGATCGATGCGCCAGGGTGTAATGAATGCATTATGTATAGCTGTGTGAGGCAAAGACACTGGAACCTTGGATTTGATTATAGAGTCGGTAGAAAAATGGTATTGTACAATACCACTGGGACTCACGCCAGCACACCTGAAGGCGTATAGTCCATGCCACACCCATGTGGATTGCGTTCATGTACGTGCAGTGCTAGAGCGTCTTTCGGAGTTAGGATACTTAGGCTCCACTGATGACGTGAATACTTGGCTGAAGCGATCAAAGGGTGTCAGAGTTAACCCCAATCAGCCTGTGGTAGACTTATGCGATGATTACAAAGACTTGAGTCGAGATTTAACATGTGTTGCTGTATGGAAACTATTCAACCCCTTAACATACAGTGATGGAAGAATGTTAAGCAGACCAATGCGCAACGCCGAATTCAAACTTTTATTAGCTTACCGTAAGGCTAAGCTTGAAACAACCAAATACCCAGAACGTGGTCTCAAAGTAGATATATTCACAGATCTTTAATAAAGATATAATTATAATAATAAAAAGTATCGACGCCATCTACATTAATTGCAGTAGTCACTGTATGTATTTCTTCTACAGTAGGGGTTACATCCTCCGCAGTAGTGGCGGTGCTGGTATTTGTACTAATATACGAATTCATGCTTTGGCTAGTTTCTTATCAGATGGTAATTCGTGTCTTTCTACACCCTTCACGTTGTGCCCGCATTCTGCCTTACCCAAAGAACATATGCATGATTGAAAAGCACCATCACGTGCTTGAAGCATGGCTACAGTAGCTAGTTGATAATCGTGTGTCCATTGTAGTGTGGCATATGGTAATGCCCCAGGATTTGCATATACCCGCCAACTTGCTTTGGAAATGAGGTCTGAACGATGAAAGTGCTTGGCATTCACACTAGCCAAGTTTATTTGTCCCTTGCTATCTCTTTCCCGAAGTTTGGCTGCTATCTCTACATCTGTGATACCTGGCTGTAAGCATCTCAACCACCGAGTTGCAAGTCTATCGGCCTCATTAACATGCACGGGATTGTCCGGTTTTATCGATTTTGGCAACGATGTGATACGATCATCATTCACTTCATTGTTGATACGTATACAGTCTCTTTCACGACACATACTTAGTTGCATGTAACAACTTCTGGCGCCGACAGGTCACTCCTTTCTTCTAGTTTCCTAGCACCAACATTTATATAAAAATATACATAGACACCTGGTCTAAATTTTTATAAATATTAGTAATTCTCTCTCTCGCTCTGGGAATGCAATGTGATTTGTCCATCATATTCCTTAGAGTATAGATTCCTATATCTCTAGACAGATATCCCCCGTCTTTATTCCTTCTCTATAATTGTGACAATACGGAAGATACTACTTCCTTTAAATATCTAACGCCCCACTCTCCTTGAGCTTTGTTTATCCATCATATTCCGTAGAGTATAGATTCTTATATCTCTCGACAGATATCCCTCTTCTTTATTCCTTCGCTATTATTGTGACAATACGGAAGATACTACTTCCTTTAATCCCACTCTCCTTGAGCTTGGCCACCCATGGATCGGGTAGCCTCTCCGAGTGTTCAAGGTCCTACTTTCGTAGCCCCTTTTACTGTAGGGGTGAGTAAAGTCGTATTATTTTTTTCTATCTGCCTATGTAGTAAATTAGGTGCTTTCAAGTTATGTGAATGATGACATCAATCAATGTGTGAGATGGCAATGGTTTAATATAAGGAGGTATTCCTTGTATTGAGGAAATAGACTTCTGTAGGAGAACTACTACTCCTTGGGTAAATAACCAGGTAATAAACCCTTCTGGAAAGTGAGATAGTAATGGGTCATATTGGACATGATGAAGGTGAGAGGTTCTTTAATTTAAACGGTGTAGGGCTGCTCCCCATGCTCTTTCCAGATATGTCAGGAGAAAGTCCTCGCCTCGACACAACCTCCAGGCGCGATAGTTATGGGGTACAATAAGTCATAATCCAGATTATTTAGTGTAAATGTATTCTATCTTTGAAGTGAGAAGGTTTTCAGAGCTCGAAGTACAATACAGTAGCCTTCGCACCGGCGTCAGGATTGGTATATGTCTGAGGCGAAGGGAAGGGGTGGTGGAAGCTCCTGCACAGCCAGCAAATTCACTTGCCGGTGTAGTCCCGTTGCGTCCAACCATTGAGTCTCTTTCGAGGTTTTGTAGTCTAATGCACAAATCTTGAGTTGTTGCTACTGTACAAGCAAGTAAAGACATGACTCGGATTGAGCAGAGAATCTTTAAATGTTGTACGAACACTTTTCACACAAACGTGAATACTACAGCCCCGAATAGGCACAAGCTATATGCCAATATTCCATATCCATGGTATGACTATAAAAAAAACTAAATATAGTGTAGTGTGTGACAAGAATATATGCAAAATATTTGGTGGAAAGTCGCATTGTGTATATTTTCTCAGATTATGCGTACTCAAGTACACGACAAAGTTATGTCTAACATATGTATGGTACACACAATGTGGGCAAACAATTGAGATCAGAAAGTTAGTAACCAAAAGATATATAGAGCATCGGCGCCGAATTTTCCCACCGTTTCTATGCGATGCGGCATCCATAGCCAAACTAACCATCAGGACATTCTGTAGGAAACCCGTACTAACTAGTAAAGACCGAATTAACTTAATATCACAAATCGATAAAGCCACTCTGGGTGCTCAAGCGCCTGTATTGACGGCCACCGCCAATTATATAGATTTTTTTTCCGACAATAGCGAAATATCCAGTAAGTTTAATTGTATCGAATGTCTTGATATTCGATCGGTCAGTTTTTTGACAAAAATTGTTTTCCGCATAAACGCGGGCTACTATTAGAACTGTCTAAAGAATAAATATTTCATAAGCAGTGCATCAAACCCCTTTGCATGTCATTTCCATCGGTTTAGTTTGCTATGCAATGGCAGCTTTATGTTTTTGTTATTTGAATGTGGCTATTGTGCAACCGTGACGTGACTATCTCGAGACCCCTTTTTGCAGCTTTGACGTTGAATTTATCTCATCAGAAAGAATATATAAATGGTATCCTTGACCACGTACGCGTGCATATGCATATGGGGGAGGTATTCAGAGTTGTGCTGGTAAATATTGACCGAAGACAGAGCTA